TTCGGGATGATGTGGGATGTGGGTGGGTGATCCGGACCGGAGGCTGTTTGCGGTGCGGCCCCGCCGCCCCCCTACACCCCGAACAGACGTCAGTCCCCACGCGTTCGCGTTTGCTTATTTTCTTAAAAACAGGACTCGCCCTCCTTCCTCCCCTACCCTCCTCCTCAGCGGAGCGAGGGGAGCAGGCCGCCGCGCCTAACCTGACGCAAAATGACGTCACGTGAAATAAAGATTTTGTCATGCACGAGCAGCAGCGACTGAGGTTGCTTATCTCTTTTGCGGTCGTGCGATACATATTTCACTCCGTGCCGTGCGAGTGACGGCGGCGGCGGGGCGCCTCTGCCTGCAGTCAGTGCCGGCGTACAGCCGTACTGCCCCGCCATTGGCTGGCCGTGACGCGGAGGCGGGCGTCGTGCCGCCCCCGGCCGCCCCCCGGGCCCCGACCGACACGAACCAAACAAACACGCGAAAGCTGGCTTTTAATTTTCGGTACAGTAAGCTCGTACATACTGCGCCTCTCCGAGGCTGGAAACCAAATTAGAGACGCCGAAACACGTATTTTGCCTGGACCACAAAGAGAGGTGGTCGGAGGGGGCCTGCGGGTGTCCCGCCCCGCCCCGCGCGGGCCTACCGCGGCAGCGGGGCGAGAGGCGAGGCCCTGGCAATCAGTACTCGGGCGCGGAGCACGACCAGGGAAGAGTTTGACCGGTGGACGATGGGGAGGACGCTCTCAGTGCACCCAGAGGACCGTTTAGTCCAGAGAACCAATTACAAAACCGCGATGAAATTTTAGCACTGCAAATAACTAAATTTTATCCGTGACGATGAAGTAATGTAATCAAGCTGGCGTAGTTTGATTAGTGTGCGACCATATATAGTTACAAATAAGATTACTCAATTTTACTCGGTTCGAGGAACTCAGTTTTGTTTCTTACAACCCTAAATTATTTTAATCGACTAAATGGTTCTCTAGGTCTGGGGCGATCCAGAGCGGATCTTAAAAGGCCTACCGTGCTCTTTGTAGAAAACACACATCCCTAGTCTCTACTCCTAAAAAATTGTATCTTTGAAACAAGACGAACGCTATTTTTTTGACCTCAAAAAAGTACAAGGAAAATTGTCTTTAACTTAAGTCAAATGCCGTTAAAATAAAGTAAAAGTTTCCTTAGATTAACTTGAACACCACGGAAAAAACTCAAAGCAAGATCAAACATTTCCTTGCACTTTTTTTTTTAAAGAAAATTCCTTGGTTCAAGAGTACAATTTTCTTGGTGTAGGAGGAACACTACACTTCCTGATGCACAGTAGTGTTGCCGCGCGCCACGTGGGGTGGGCGTGGGCGATGCACTGCCTTCGGGCGGGTTCAGAGACCAAGGTATGGTTTATCATCACGGACGCCTCTCCCCCCTCCGCGCCATCCGCGGGGCCGACACCCTGACCAACGATAAGCCCCTTAGTCGTCTCCTCTCTCTCTCTCTCCCTCCCTCTCCCTCCCTCTCCTTCTACCTTTCCTCTTTTTAACCCTTTCTACATTTTTCACCGCATCATTTTCTCAATCTTGGTGAACCATTAAGACGCTCTTAATTTTGTTTAACTTATTGTGTCTGTGTTTTTGGTTTTAGGAGATTTCGGGAACAAGAAGGACGACGGGAAAGGCGAAAATAGAACAGAGATCTTCACCATATCAGTTACTCATGGAGGTAAGAACGTCGTTATATATATTTTGTTTTTTTGAAATTATTTCAATTTTGATAAGGGGTCGGCGAAGTGAGGAAGGCAATCCCAATCCAAATCTTCGACCGGCCCATCCTATAATTACCACGCGGAAAATTTTCACGAAGGGAGCAAGGCCAAAAAAAAAGAAAAGAGGAACGTGCCCCCTTGCTGAGTGGGGGCGTGGGGGCGTCTTGATGTGGGGTCGAAATTCTGTAAAAAAGAAAACAAAAAACAAAAGGAGTTCATATTAGCCCGATTTCAACACGGCAATGCCAGTCCGGTACGGTGCTAGGGGAGCATCGCAGCGATTACATCATGTTGTAAAGATTCCACGCGCGCAATCCGAGACACTGTTGGTGAACAGCGAGGCGAAGTGCGTCCTCCGTATCACAAATCCAAATTGCGAAACTTTACAAAGTTACCTGCCTGAAATATCAGAAAAATGAAATGTCGAATCACGTTTCATGCAGTTTGGTTGCGTCACGAGGCGACAGCCCCAGCCGCCCCGGCCGGATGGCCCGATGCCTTACTGATGTGCACGGCGCGGCGCGGCGCGGGAGTCGAGTGGTTTTGCACGTGAATCGCTCAATCCTCCAGAGTCACGCGAGGCCCGCCCGCCAGCTCGGGCGAACGGCTAAAAATACACTCGCCGCGGCAAAAGGAATACACGGCGCCATGGACCCCGGCGGTCCCCGGCCCGGCGCGGCACGACCAGGGAAGTCCCCGCGCCGCTGGAGATCGGGAGCGGTCCGGCATGTGGGCCAGCCAGGCAGTGGGGTAGCGGGCCGCCCACGCCTTCCTGCTGTGCGTCTCGACACGCAGATCCGCACCAAAGCGTCTTTATAAATAGTTTCACAAACATTTGTGTTTGTCGGAGGGGCGCACGAGCACACCCCCGCGCCTGACACGTGACCCTGCCGCGAGTAGGTTAGGGTTGGGTTGGGGTGTCGTCGTGTGTCGTCGGCCTGCGCGATAGCGCGAGCGGGCCATAGAAACGCGCGCGGAAGCAATAGCTACTGCATCACTTTTTGTTTTTGTGTTTATTGCTTATTTTCG